AAACGACCAGTTCAAAGTTTATTTCAAAACTGCTGACGTAGATATAAGTTTTTAATAATGGGTGAAAGGCCATTTTTCTTTTGGTTTCAGGTAGGAATCCCAGAGAATTAAACTTCTGCATAGAATAATTATTATTCTATAATAACAGAATAAAAGAGAAGACCAAATAATCTACCATTTTTGAAAGCCCTTAGTATTTAACAGAACACACACACACACTGATAATTCAGTTTACCGGGGCTGCACCGTAAGTGGCAAAACCAGAGTTTTCGTGGTCTCATTGTCATGGTTTCAATCGCAAAGCTGCATGACCTCAATTCAAAGCAGCCATGGGCAACAGTAATCTTGAGCTCAAAATCAATTTAAAACACCAATTCCAAAGTTTGGAAACTCTACTGATATAAAATGAAACAGTAACAAATAAGAGTTGTCCAAGTGTACAAAATGCACCTTCCTCCTCTTTCACAGGTGGATAATTTCAAGGGGTATTTTCAGTTTAACCTAGTTTCTCTTCTTTCATCATTCAACATTCTGTTTTGATGTGTAGTGCCCCGTACTTCCTGTTACTACATCTTGATACTCTACGGCAAATCATGACTCATTCTTAAATCATAGAGAAACTCCTCAAAATCCCAAATTTCACAGCACACAGGAACTCAGTCTTTCAAGAGGGCAGCATTCTTAGGACATTACTTGAACCACAAAGGACAAAAACATTGAAGTCCACGTTGAAATTATGTCAACCCACTGTTGAGTCAATACCTTTATTAGATCAATAAATACAAGCTCTATGTGATAATTCCAGTCTTAGCACTAGTTATAAAGGTGTGTTAACCATGCTACGTTAAGTAAAAATACGTTATAAAACAGTTCAGTACTGTGATTCCAATGAAGAATTTTATGCGTATGTGTGTATGTATTTATACATATACATACATGCCCATTTTAAAAGACCAGAAAAATATACATCAAAATGTAAATGGTAGAATTATGGGAAATGTCTACCATTTTCATTATGGTTTTCTCTATCTTTTAAAGGTCATTCTAGTTAATATTTTTCACAACAGGAAAAAAAAACAACCAACCCATAGAAAATACTTTTATGCTAGCATGGTCTCAAGTAGATTGCTACAAATCAATCTATGAAGTCAAAGAGGAACTATGGATAGACAGGACATAAAAAACTTTTGCATGAAACACACAAGAAAATCTGTTAAGAGTAACATCGTTCATGCAAACTATCCATGCCTCTCTCATGGGTATGTGCCAGGATAGATCTTTGGGAAGGTATCAGAAGACTGGACTCCAGAACCAGGGCAAAACCAGAATGGACAGAGAGTCCATTTAAGACTGAGTGAAGAAGCCTGTGCTTATAATCCCAGCTACTCCAGAGGCTGAGAGGCAAGAGGATTTGCTTGAACTAGAAGTTCAAAGCCAGCCTAAGCAACATAGGGAGACACCTCTCTCCACCTCCCACCAGGTCTGAGAAACTCGGAGATGACTGAGTCATTCTCTGGAACTGGAAGAGAACAAAACTATCAATTAGTAAGCAGTAACTCACCCTCTGTGAAAAAGACTCTACTCCAGGAAGTCACATCCTTGGATAATTTTTTATTGAGTGTTTTGGGTTGTCAATAGGTCATATTTCACAGCACTATATTGGTCCTCTGAATCAGACAGATATATAAATACAATTGAGTACCAGAGAACACATAAAATACAATATCTGGCAGCTGAGAAGGGAATATTTGAATTTATATACACTGCCTGGAAGTCCTTTAAAACTAATTTCAGGAAAAGATCCAAGTTCCAAAAAGTTATTAAATACATAAATTTTAATATATGATCTCAGAGTTACATTTACTGTGTATTAGCGGTCTTGAATTATTTAATTTTTTATATAGGAAAAAGAGGGGGTCTTTAATAAAGGTTTAGGTAACTTCAAAATTCAAATGGAGCTGAAAAACTGCTGCTCTACCCCATCTGGACCACGGCCACTCCAGCCTAAAAAGCACGGGTACCAAGCAGGTGAGGATGCTATGCCTGCGGAGCTTCAGGGATGGTCTAACTCCACTCACAAAGGATACAGCCCTACAATGCCATCATCTCCATGCCGTCCTATCGCACATAACCGATCAAAAAGAGAAAGAGAAAATTTGTGAATATTATATATTAGACACGTGGCAAAAACCCACAAAGTGACAACTTTTAAATGCCCTGCTTGTTGAGTGAATGCCCATGAAAGAATTTTTCATCAACTTCACCATCCTTATTTACATAAATGAGGGTTTCCTAATCTGGGCACTACTGACATTCTGAGTTAGGAAACTCAGGGGAGGTGCAGGGGAGTGGGGTATCCTTCCTGTGCATTGTTGAATGTTTAGCAGCACCCCTACCCTCTACCCACTAGATGCCAATAGCATCCCCTTAATTATGACAACCAAAAATGTCTCCAGACACAGCCAGATGTCTCCTGGGAAACAAAATTACTCCTGGTTGAGAGCCACTGACTTTAATGAACCTCATGCATCCCTAACAATTAGTTGTCCCAATGAGTTATTCTGAATACTTCCTTTTTATCTGAAGGAAATGTACTCTTGAAGAGACTATTTACAACCACCATTCTTTAGGAATTGTCATGCAGAATGACATTAGATCTTGCAAGCTGTTCTTCTCTATTGTAAGTTTTGTTATCTACTCATAGCTTTCCATGTAAATTGAAAGCAACAATTTATTAGGTACCAACTCTGTACAAGGCACGGTGCACTGGGGACTTCTTGTACTAGTGTCCACTGACTCACTCTCTGCTCAGGCTGGCGGGGTTGTTTTTAGGACATACTTTGCCACCATAAAAGAAATGCCAACACCTCAAAAACCCTCAAAGGAGAGGCAACGTGTCTTTGTCAATAAAGGGACCACATTTGGTCCAATCAGGTTCTGTAAAAGTCTTCAGTCTTTTTAGTAACTCTACACATTTCTAGGCAACATTTAAAGGTTTGTTTTTTGTTTTTTTTTTTAGGGGGCTGAAGGCCTTTGCTATATTTGGCATAGAAAGGCTATCACTCTTCCTAACTCAGGGGGTTTTGCAGGCTGCATCATTACTGGAAACTCTAAAGAACGCTTATGGGCAGTCTCCTTAACTGCCTGACCCACGTGCCCTCTTAACACAATTTGTAATTTTATAATCCTCATAAATTGAAACTCACAACTGACCTTTTCCAAATAAATGTGTGCCACAGAGAAAGGAAGAAAAAGACAGAGAGAAATCTGAGGGCATTTTCTTCGGCAGTAAGACTCCCAAATCGATTTCAGCTCTTACAGATGCCCTGAACGTGTTTGGTTTCTCCTCTTCCCCACAAAGAATGAAGCATAGTTGGGAGATGTGTCTGAGCTGCTTCAAACACCCTCTTACCCCATCCCATCCGCTACACACACGGGGAGGCAAATGCAAAATGCCCAGAGTGACTTCAAAGTTTTCAAGATGCTGCCCTGAAAAGGCCCGTTGGGCGGCTGCACCTCTAAGTAAATAAAGCCGTAACTTGTCTCCCTCCTCAGCGCTGGGCTCCCCAGGCTGACAGTGGCTGCACAAAACCCCTCCTGTGCCGGGCAGCGGAAACTCCTAATGAGATTAGTCGGTGTGTGTGCAGACATTACTTCGCAATGACTAAAGGGGCTCTCTCTTCCTGCAGCAGCCAGTGGAAAATTCAGGGAACTTTTTCCCCCTGCTGCAGCAGAATCCCTTTAACCCTCTCCCCAGCCAACTCCAAAAACAACTCGGCTCTCCCCTGCACCCCCCAGCCCCGGGCTGGGGACGGGGGAGAGTTAAAGACCGGCGGGGATGGGGGGGCTTTCAAGAGAGGGAGGCAGAAAGGGGGCTGTTGGGGAGGGGGCGGGGGACCCCTCGAACACTACAAAGGAAACTGTAAAAGGCACAAATACATAAACCTGAGAAGGAGCAAACCACAGTTTCTTTGTGAGCTCCCTCCAGTGAGTCATTTTCAAGATGCTGTCTGCTGCCAGTTTCAAAGCGGAAGCGCATGGCAATTAGTCTTGCCGTTTCCAGACAAGCCAGAAACTCTCCCGACACTCGTTTTTTTTTTTTTCTAAAAAGCCCCTTTTGCAGTTTCTAAAATAACATTTCTTGCTCCCACCTCCACCCGCCACCTAACTGTAGCTTGTCCCCATGATAAGGTTCAGAAAAAATAACAAAACCGACATCTTTTATTTTTTTTTAACCACTCCCCAAAATTTTGATCTCCCCCCCCCCCAGAGTTACAGTAGCGTTACAGGCCAACATTCAGTTAGCAGCTAAAGAGCTGGGGGCGCCACCATCGCTTCTTGCTGGGTCGTTCTCCAAAACCGTGTCCAGTAAAGACCCCACCGGCTTTTAAATGTCCTACTGGGAGTGCGCCTGGGGCGGTGACCTGGGTGGGGGTCACCTGCAGAGCGAGAGTAGACGCAGCCCTACCCCCAACAACTTTGTTCCCCGCGCCCTCCACCTCCCTCTCCATCCCTGGATCCCAGCACCGGTGCCCTCTGCCCACCCCGAGGAGAGCGCGATCGCAGTCCCAGCAGGAAGGCCAGCGGTGGTCACCCGCACCAGGCAGTCACCCCGCACCGTTCTTCTCTGGTGCCCCAAGCCCTGCTAACCCCTGCTGCCTCCACTGCCTGCAGCGCTGCCCTAAGAGAGCCCCCGAGGCTGCACGCCCGGCACCCCTTCCTCTGGGCTGCAGGGTCCCGCAGCCCCCGGCCCGGCGCGCTAGCTCCGCGGCGGCGGAGGCGGTGGCAGCGACGCGGGCGCAAGAGCATCCCCGGCGGCGCCCCCTCCCCGGGCGGGCCCTCCAGCGCGGACGCACCCCCACCCCCACCCCGGCCCGCAGCCCACTCCGCGGCGCCCACTGCCCCACCCCCACCAAGCCCAAGAAAAGAAAGAAAAAAAAAAACACCCCAAACGAAACTTTGCAAGTGTCCGAGCAACAGGCACAAGCCTTGTTACCTACCCAGATGTGGGGGAGCTTTCAGATCCTTCTTCGGGGGAATTTCTAGGAGGACCCGGGCGAAAGCCCCCGACTTTCCATGCTGACAGGCGTCTGCAGACGGTCTGTTGCTCTTGTAATGAGATCCTGATTTTTCCCCCTTTTTTTTTCTTTCTCTCGCTCCTCTTTTTTTTTCCCCCTCTGGTGTGTGTGAGAGCAGGAAGTTGGAGCAGTCAGGCCGAGCCGGCTCACTTCCTTTACTGCATTATTCCCCAGGCGGTGTGCAGTCTGTGTAAACAGGCTTTTCCGCCCCGCGCCGCGCGCCTCGGCCGCGGCTGTGCGCCGGGGCTGGCCGCCCAGGCCCGCGCATACTCCGCCGCCCCGGGCCCCGCGCTCGCCCCGCACCGCGCGCCCCCGCGCCCGCGCCCCCGCCCCGCTTCCTGCTCCACCACCCCAGGGGAGGAGCCTCCGGACCCGCCGCGGCCCCTCCCCACCGGGAAGGGGGCTCGGCCCGCAACCGTCCGCGGGCTCCCCCCGACGCGCGGGGCGCTGCCTGCGGGTGCTGCGGGAACTCGGGTCCCTCCCTCCGCCCACGAGCTGGGCACCACGGCGGGGTCGTGCCCTGCCCAATTGGCCTGGGAGGGGCGCCCAAGGAGGCAAGGCCGCGAGACCTACTGTTTTCTATTACATCAGCTGGGATGGAAAAGTTGGGGGACAGGGGATGCCGGGGTTCAGGGTTGGATTGCTCTGGGCAAAGCCCTGCTTATATGATGGGTGCGGGCGTGATTGTTTGGGACGAAATGTTGGATGTCCAAGACAAGAGACATGGTTTCTGTGTGGGGAAGGGGATGGACACAGTTCCTCCTGTCTGGGTTTTCCATTTTTTAAGAAGCCAGCCCTCGGTGGGGGGCCCAGTTTGGGGAAAAGGATAGGAGCTGTAAAAGTGGAAGGCAGCATTCTCCAGTCAGAGACCTTTCTGGCTGTTCACTAAGGCCTCCTCAGGCCCACCCTTTCCTGCCCACTAAGGAGCTCCGAGGGAAATGAGCAGTAGCCGTGAGGTCAAGACACTGAGGCTCTGAGGTCTCAGGACTGGACTCCACAGGCCACATCCCTCAGGGAGGTCTCACCCTGAGACTGGCTCAGGCCAGGTTGTGATTGGAGCGCTTGCCCACTGCCCTGATGCCCAGACAAGAGGGGGAAGATGCTAGTTTAAGAACTCCTTACCCCCAAGCCAGTGCCCCAACCTCAACTCCTCACTTTCCAGAACCTTCCATTCCCATGCTGCCACTTCTTAGCAACACAGAGCAGTGGTTTTCAAACTTGACCCGAGGGGCTCATTAAAATCCTGGTGGCCTTAACGGAGTCCCTGATTCAGCAGGTCTAGGGTGGTGGCTCTTAGGGCTGGCTAACATTAAAATCACCTGGGGAGTGTTTTGACACGATCCAACAACAGACTCAACCCAGACCAATTAAGTCAGATTCTCTGGGGACAGGGAGTGAGTCCTTTCCAAAGGACCACACTAAGAGTTCCTCCGCTTGTTTCTGGTTTTGCACTCTCTCCTGAGAGGTTATTTGCTTATAAGTTTCTCACTGCTAGTAAGTATGAGTGTAAAGGGCAAGGATTGTATTTTACAGAAGTTAGTACCACCCCCAAGCGCCTATGAGAGCATCCAACTGATAGGATTTCCTGGGTCTGGCATTTGCTTCATGACTAATGTGGATAGTCCTCCTCAGGGGTGGGACAAGGCCACCCAGACCTCTGAGAAAGCCTGGGAAACTGTGGGAACCCCTGGCGGGTGTGATAGGGGAAAGGTAGGAGAATGGAGCAAGAGGGGACGGCATAGGAAAGGGGGGTTGTTTATCAACCCCTGATTTTCCACAGCTAATTTTCCACTTTGGGGATTATCCTTTTAATCCCCAGTCGGCTTCCCCTGTCACTCAGCAGAACTCATACTGTGTCCCTATATGGTCCAGCTGTCTGGACTGAGAGAATGTAAACTTATTTTATTATCCTGGGGGTGGAGGAGAAAACTTCACACTCACAGTTTAGAACCCATGCTGCTTTATTTTAGAAAGTATATACCTGAAAAAAACCAGTCTGAAAAGGCTACATACTGTATAATTTCAAATAGACAACGTTTTGCAAAAGGCAAAACTATGAAGACAATAAAAAAGATCCATGGTTTCCAGGGGTATGGGGGAGAGAAGGATAATAGGCAGAGTACAGAGGGCTTTTAGGGCAGTGAAACTACCCTGTGTGATACGACACATGTCATTATACACTAGCTGAAATCCCCAGAATGTACAACATCAAGAGTGAACTTGAACTGTAAGATGAACCGTGAAATTGGGGTGATAATGATGTGTCAATGCAGGTTCATCTATCGTAACCACTCTGATGGGAGATGTCCATCATGGAAGAGGCTAATGCATGTGTAGGAACAAGAGGTATATGGGCAATCTCTGTCCCACTCAATTTTGCTGTGAACCTTCCAAGAAATAGTTGAATTTTGGCCGGGCACTCCTGAGTTTGAACTCAGGAGTTTGAGCCAGCCTGAACAAGAGTGAGATCCCGTCTCTACTAAAAATAGAAAAAATAGCCAGCTCCTGTGATGGGCATCTGTACTACTTGGGAGGCTGAGGCAGGAGGATTGCTTTAACCCAGGAATTTGAGGTTATTGTGAGCTAGGGTGATGCCAGGGTAACAGAGTGAGACTCTGTCTCCAAAAAAAAAAAAAAAATTCTACTTTTAAAGAAAGTATGTGGCAAAGCCAAACATACTGATCTGAAAAAATCGGTAGCCTTTATGCTTTTTATTTTAGGTTTTTCACAACACATCTTTATAGGACCCTAAGGTATAAGGGAGCATGTTTTCATCAAGCAGTTTGTTTTGAAGAAATACTTCATCTAAAGCTCTTCCGAAACACTTCTGGGCAGCTCCAGGGTTTCCTAGCCCATACAAAGACCTCTTAAATTTCAAATCGGTGTGTTCTGGTGTTTTGGACTGTCTGCATCTCTGCTCCCACATTTTCATGTGAATAAGTAATTCAGCACTGACTTGGCTCTTTCACAAAGCACCAGGAGTAGCTTTTATTTTCAGGTGTCTGCCTCTTCTGTTCTTTGCATTCTAAGAGAAATCTTTTATTTGTTTTCCATGCATGACTTCCCACCCTCAAAAAGCAACCAGGAGATATGGTATCTAGTATTGTATGACCCACACTCCTTCTATGCTTTTGTTGTAAAACAGATGGGACTTAGATAAGATTCCTTATCTTATCCCTTATCTTATTACCTAAAGATAGTAAGATTTCTTCAGAAGCTCTTTAGAGTAAGGGACAGAGCCTAGGGTCAGATATTTGTGCTGGCCAAGAGAGAGAATATGAGACTCTCTCAGCTTTAATAAAAACATTTGAGGTCTCACCAGAGAAGACACACAGTGTGTTTCAGAAATGAGAGCTAGTTGATGTGATATATTAGAGGGTGCACAGTTCAGGAAGGGGAAGAGTCAGCCTAAGGAGAGCCCATGGATGGAGAATAGAAGAGGGCTATCAATCAATCAATCAAAGCCCTGGTGCCAAAAGAAGGGGTGTACTAGTCAGCTTCTGCTGGAATAATGCTGTGTAACAAACAGCTCCAAAATGTAGTAGTTTATAGCAACACATGAGTCTGGATTGCTTGGGCTTGGGCCCAGCCTGCAGGCTGAGTGTGTGTTGGTTTGTCATGTTTTCATTCTGAGGCCCCGGCTGAAAGAACAGACACTACTCAGAACACATGGTTCTCAAAGAGAGTTGGAGCTTCTTAAAAGTAGTGGAAACACGTGATGCTCCTTAAAACCTCTGCTTAAGACTAGCACAGTCTCACCTCTGTGCACATTCCACGGTGCACATTCCACTGATATGATTCCACAAATCATATGGCAAAGTTTAAAGTCAATAGGATGGGGAGAAGAGCAGGGAAGGAAGGGAGAATTCTGAACAAATACTGTAGTCTGCCACAAGAGAAGAATGATGCCAGGTGTCTAAAAACCTTTCAGGTCCCTCATAATTTAACATCCCATGATATATATCAGAATGGATGTTGCGAAAAGTTAAAAAGAAAAGCAATTACAAATGGGTGAGAAAGCAGAGTTCGAGAAAGCAGGAGAAGAAAGGCTCTTAGAACAAACCAAACTAAAATATTCTAGAACAGAACAGAATGAATACTATTTGAAACCTATGAATTGATGTATAGTGGTAGAAACTCATAAGTGGTTTGCCATCACTATGTTGAAGACAGCTTTCGATGTTGGGGGCTAGGGGTAGGGATTGGGAATGGGAAGCCAATGCCTGATGAGAAGGCAGCTTGGAGTCAGGAATTTGTGGATCCAGTTCCAGACCCGACTTGTTCTAGCTTTGAGACCTTGACTGAGTCACTCACCTTCTCTAAGCCTGAACTTGCATCAGGTTTTATGGATTTTTACAATGAATGTCAATTTTACATTAAAATAGCATGTGTTGTGGACTAGGATTTTAAAATGTCCCTGAATTTTATTTAAAGGCGTATTTAAAATAATTTTATAGACTTGCTGGCAGACCCTTGCTAGAGTCTGCTTTCTCCCTTTTATCTCGTTGGAAGTATTTCAGTGGAGACGTTTGAGAAGCGTTGATTTGGACCATCTTTTTTGCCTCAGACAAGTTGCTCATGGGCCAAAGGTTGGCAGACTCACAGGCTCTTCTGCCTGGTTATATATTTTTGAGTAAAGAAGAATTCGCTTTTTCTTTTTCCTTTTTGTTTTTAATTGTGGTTTAAAAAAAATTACCATCTTAGCCATTTTAAAGTATATGGTTCTTTGTTAAGTATACTCAAATTGCTATGATACTCATCTCCAGAACTTTCTTATCTTGTAAAAACTACAACTCTGTACCCATTAAACACAAACCCCCCATTTTCTCCTCTTCCCAGCCCCTGGCAGCCATCATTCTACTTTTGTCTCTATAAATTTCACTAAGTACCTTATTTAATGGAATTGTACAATATTTACCTCTTTTTTTTTTTTTTTGTCATTGGCTTATGTCCCTTAGTGTAATGTCTTCAAGGTTCATCCACGTTGTATCATCTAACACGATTCCCTTCCTTTTCAAAGCAGGATAATAATCCATTATATATGTATACCCCTTTTTTTTTTTTTATCCATTCCTCTATTGATGGACGTTTGAGTTGCTTCTGTCTTCTTGGCTGGTGTGAATAAGAAGTCTCTACATTTTTTTTAGTGGTTGAAAATGAACCAAAAGAAGAATGATGTTTTGTAACATGTGAAAATTATGTGAAGTTCAGATTGCAGTGTCCGTGGGTAAAGTTTGATTGGAACACAGCC